TGTTTTTATTATTATGAAATCACGCATTCTCTGAAGCCAGTATGGCCAATTTAACCATTTGAACACTTACAGGAGTCTTTTATCTGTTGAAAACCGAAATTGTTTCAGATTTGGTAAAAAACATAACTTTAATTTGCATTAAATCTTATTCAATGTCACAGGAACTTTTGTTGTTCAGTATATGTACACACAGACACATTTGCACAAAGATGACATACAGACAGAAGTGAACCTATTCCGCATTTATACATCAATACACATATACAATAACTCAGATGTAAAAACATATATCAGTACAAGGCATACACGCATACATTCTTAATCCAAAGCGCGCGCGCTCCATCATACACACCATCCACGGATAAACATTTGAATATTCATGGTAGCAATTGTGGGTACTAGATTATGGGACCCGTGAAGATCCGGGGAAGAATTGGTCTTCAGCAACCCATGCTTGCCGTAAAAGGCGACTATGCTTGTCGTAAGAGGCGACTAACGGGATCGGGTGGTCAGGCTCGCTGACTTGGTTGATGCATGTCATCATATCCCAATTGCGTGAATCAATGTTCATGATGTCAATCACTGGATTGTCTTGTCTAGACTCGATTATTTACAGACCGCTGTCATATAGCTGGAATATTGAGTCCGGCGTTAAACAACAAACAAACAAATCAACTGATCTTTTAAGATGACATAAAATAATTAATTAATTTTATATTAATTATATTTGCTGTTTACTAAATTGTGACAATTGTTTAGAGCCACAGCAAAGCTACTCATTCCAAACATATTGTGCTGGGAACAGTATAACTGGACTGAGGGAGGGCCAGGGAACCCTTCCCCTCGCTCATCAGCAACCACATGGCTCATTGTGGGGAACCAGCTTGGCAATATGGGACTAAAAACTTCAGGGAGCTGGGGGCAGTTTTGTTAATGGTACCGGCAGATAAAAGAGATCATGTTATGAACCCTTATTCCAAACAGTAAGAAGTGAAAGCTGAACACTTGTAAGGTGGACAGAGAAGGCAGTTTCTATTTAATAAAACATTCACCCCAATCTCACTCTCATCCTCTTCTCAGCCTATATACCAGTTTCCAGCTCTGAAATTAAGAGTTTTGATGCATTATATTGTCAGCTATGGCTCGCAGCAACCAACCACGCAGTGAAGTAATGAGGTAAATAGTGACATACAGCAAGGAGATCTTCTTTATCCCTGACAATTGAAGTTCCCCGTGCACGCTGTGGACTTGTTAACCCAGACTTCATCGTCGCACGCTATTGAATTACTTTCAGGTTCTAATTTAACAATTGCTACATGGAATATAATGTAACGGTTGTGAAAATGACGTGGTACATTAAACATGCTACACTTGTGGGTAAACTATCCCATACGTTTATGTGCATGGGCTACAGTGAGCAATGAGCAAATGTTTTGAACCGTTTTATATAATCTAATGACTATACCGTTGGTGTATACATAAATATGTTAAACTTTGCTTTAAGGAAATGATCCATTTAAGTATGTTTCCATAAACACTCAATTACTCCTCCCCGCGACATACGCTACCCTCAGAATATCAAACAGTCTATTTCTACGTAAATTCAGGGTCATGAATTTTAATTTTAGGTGGACAAGTAGTTTGTTTAAGACCTAGTGTTTGAAAATACATAATCTTACATAATCTGCTGGAATTGAAAAAGTCACCATGACCGATACAATTTCATGCAAGCTTTTGGAAGGTTGATGACTACTATAACAAGTCTATAGTTTTTATTCTATGACCTTTCTCGAGTTTCTTCAGAATAACACCTTTTTTAAAACTTTCTGGCAGAATGTACAAATGTGAGACTCACACGTGTATGGTAATATCCGGGGGAACTACGTGTATTCTTAAAAAAAATGGATATGTCCTTACAAGTGAATTTGTTTGTCTCTCATCCTCAATTGCATGTATACATTGTGTTGGAATGACGATGATTATTTTTCGATGTCAGTGAAATGTCCCCAGAGATACTGGGATACTGAAATAGCATATATTGAGTTCCCATTGGGACTGCTACGTCATGCATTTAAAAAACTAATGACCAGAAAAGTCTAAATCTAACAGTATATATCATTTGCCAATAATTTATATTTGCTCATTGTAGCTCGCGCCTCAGGCAGTGTGTTGTGTGGTAATTCAAGACTGAGTTCAAATTGTTTCATGACCTGTCAAGCCTTATCACCATCTCATGTAATGATTAATAATCTAATATTATCTCTTTTTTTATATCAGTAGGGGCACTTCCTCTCCCAAGAAGACGTCCAATTGTTAACAACGTCGTAAAAAGTGTTTTATCCTTGTCCGATAATTTAAACGCGTTTTTATACCTAAATATGTTTATATCCTAAGTTTGTTTGAATTGTTTAGAACGATATCGATGATACAATATTCAGATAATCAAGTATATTTAATGTCTAAATGTGTTTGGGTTTGACGATATTATCAAATATAAATATGTGATTGATCATTTACAGATTTAAATGGTGTCCCACAACGATTAACATGCTCTCCTGACATGCTTGAATTTATTGCACTGTGATTAAATATCCCAAGGACACCAAGCATGAGTTTGATATAGCGATTGTTGCAACAGAAGATATTCTGTAACCGTATATTAATTTATCCTGAGGTAAATTATATCATAGGTATTATTTACAAAGATGTTTCAGAACAGGGAGGGGGAAAGACATATGCAAACTTCATATCCAAAAGGACCGCCTCCGTGGTCTGGTGGTAGAGCGTCCGCCCGGAAAGGGGAAGGTTCGGGTATCGATCCCCAGCCGCGTCATACCCTGTTACCCTGTCTGGCGCTCGGCATTAAGGGACTAAAACAAGGACTAGTCGGCTCGGAGTCAGTATACTGTGTCTGAGTGGGGTATTCATGTTAAACTGCCTCATGGTATCTCAGTGAGCTAGCACTATAAATCGGCATCAGTCCGGACTAGTACAAGCAGCCACACACACGTGCATGCACGTCGCTATATAAGTGCAATAATCTTGGATGCGACGTTAAAACCCAATTTCACCTCACCTCACCTCACCTCACCTCACCTCACCTCACCTCACCTTATATCCAAAATTCATTGTGTGCGTTAAACACTTGGACAGTGTGTAGCTTCATAAACTGTTAATTAAAAAACATGTCAGACACTTTCGACTATATTGATGACTTATTCTTATGAGATATGTAAACATTACAGAATATGTGCCCATTTACATTCAGAAATAGAGGGTCTAAAGTAGCTGACAATGTTAAATCCCAATAGGCCATTTAGGTGTTGACTTGTGAATAAGGAAGGAGAGAGTGTAGCAAGAGACGAGATAACACTTTTTAACGAAACCTACCTGCCAAACAAGTGTTAGTTCCTTAATAGGCCTAACATCTGCAGTGTTGCAACAGAGATTAGAAAGTCACCAACTGTGATCAGCGTAGTGTGTGTTCGATGAACGAATTGCAGCCCTCTGTCTGCCCAGATCTTTGTTTACTAACAAAAAGCATTGACCGATGTCCAGTGATAAAACTAATTGAGTTGTTGAAGCTACATGGCCGCCCATGATTGTCCGGGCTACGCTTCATGGTTTTGTGCTCAACAAATATATATGAATGTATATGCTGCCTCGTGGACTTTAATAATGCGATTCGACAAGGAAGTTGTTCAGATGTCTAGACGTCTTTGTGTCACACATGACTGAGTTCAACCTTGGCTTTCATTTAGTGGAGGCACATATTGTGTTCAGGTGTGTCAGGTTGCCCTAACTTCGTTACAACTGTATACAAAACAGGTGTATTATGTAAACATGCATTATTCAGCTATTTCAATTATAAAATACGTTGTCACAGTATCCCGTTAGTTCTGTACAGCACAACGTATATAAATCGGTCGATCCTGAGAGTTTATATTTACGCTTAAATTAGCACTATTTAAGCTGTTCACGTATATTACAACTTTGCAAATTAATTTTCCTTTCTCGAAATATCATAGAATGATGAGAAAGATGAAAGATCTACCCTAAGGGTTTGTGTTTAACTAAAATTTGCTTTGTTAGTTTAAACATGTATATATATATATAGCTTTCACTTCTCTTCAGTTTTGTCGAGGAATTTGGGTTTTGAAACAGGTTTTACTGCGATCGGGGTTGGAGATTCAGAACCGTAGAAAATCTAGACTTGTTTCGTTTAGAGTTATAACATTACAGTTAAGGCTGGGCGGAAAGGGGTCTAGTGTGGTTGAGGGACTGTGAGGCCGACTAATAAATGCTCTGGTCCAGGAGATTTGTCATCTGAGTCCCGTGTAGTGCAATAATATTCCGATAATGTACTCCTTGAAATACACTAAACACAGTTACACATTATTCAGTTTCGGAGAGCTTTATTGTCCTTCAAACGAAAAGTAAACATGAAAACGATTGATGAAGTCAATTGATAGAAGTGTCAAGTAAATTATCAAATAGCGTAAGGTCACATAATTTCTTCAGATGCCGAAAGAATCTAAGCTCCCTTCATGGGTAATGTAAGAGCTAATAACATATCTATCATACGAAAACAAACTAAACAGAAAATGCTAAGAAAAATTATATATATAAAAGCTCGTGTTCGAGTGGGGCTTACGTAATGGCCCTGCATAATGGCTACATACCACATTCAAAACGTAATTTATAGTTGATTACTTATCTATAAGTGCGCATATTTGTTGGATGTATTTCACTGCAAAATTGATATCTATTTTCTATACTTTAATCTTTCCTGAGCATTGCAATTTCATAATTTTGAGTAAAATTACCAGTACGTTATTTGATGCGAAATGCGCATAACAGCCTTCAGCAGTTGCGAATTGTTACAACTACGTGCTGTAAATTAAACACTCCACGAAATCGGGAATGCACAGAATGGAAAAAAATGAGCAAGGTATAAAACAATCCGCATGCGTAGAACGGTAATAGTTAGCTCTCCGCTGAGAACCACGAGCACCGCACCAAACTCCAGCCTGAATGCGAGAGCTGACCAATGAAAGCGGAGAAATAGAAATAACGGTAGAGGCTGCTGCTAGACTGACAATGTCACTCAAGAAACGGGATTAGCATTATAACATCGCTCCGTCGAAGTCAAATTACGACGTTATTTGGATGGAAAACCAATGGTTAGAAAGCGTCCAGAAAACGTCATTTTTGGTCTAATGACCATATACGGAAAGCAACGACGTTATCGTGTTTGCGGTGCATAGGAATTTAATTTGGGGCGCCTCTATGAATTCGGGTAAGTATTTTGTCTCATCGGGTCGAGGTGGAGAAATTTTGTCACTTTGTAACTTTTTTCATAATGTGATTTTATCCATAAAGATTTACAATTTAAAAAAAATAAAATCGAATTTTGATGTTCTTTTTTTTATTAGAGTTTTTATTTCGGTCTTGCTGGTACTAAATTTAAGTTGGTGGGAGGAATTAAGGATGCTTGTTTGGCAACCAAGTCAGCTGAGTTATTTCCAAGGATGTGTATATAGCCATCATATAGTTGTTGTTTTATCTGATGATTAAATTAGTTAAAAGTGAGTAATATTATCTATTAGGTCCGAGCGGGTTTTGAATAGGTTTTTTAAAACTTTGTTGGATACAGCCTATAAAAGAATACGAAATGATGAGAACATTTTTGTGATTAAGACTTTTGCATAAGATGAAGGGCAGTAGATATTGCCAAAAGTTTCGCCGTATTAGTATGTGTATAGTTAAACTTTATATAATTGACTTATTTGGGACTGATTTTGGTTGGGTAACATGCATACGTAGCCCTGTTGTTTTGTTTGTGTTCACACATGAATCTGTATATACATGTTGGTTGGTTGGTTGGTTGGTTGGTTGGTTGTTTTACGCCACACTCCGCAATGTTACAGCTATATGACGGTGGTCTGTAAATAATCGAGTCTGGACCAGACAATCCAGTGATTGATATCATGAGCATCGATCTGCGCACCTTCGATCGATGACATGCCTCAAACCACCCGATCCCGTAAGTCGCCTCTTACGACATGCATAGTCGCCTTTTACAACAAGCATGGGTTGCTGAAGAGCTATTCTACCCCGGATCTTCACGGGTGTATATACATGTACATGTGTGGGGTGTGATTGGGCCAGTTTGGTTGTTTGTTTATTTGTTTGTTTGTAGTTTAACGCCGCAATGTTCCAGCTACATGTATATGACGGCGGTCTGTAAATAATCGAGTCTGGACCAGACAATCCAGCCATTGACCTCATGAGCATCAATCCACGCAATTGGGATCGATTACATGCATCAACTAAGTCAGCGAGCCTGACCACCCGATCCCGTAAGTCGCCTCTTACGACAAGCATGGGTTGCTGAAGACCTATTCTACCCAGGATCATCACGGGTTGAATGTAATTGAGTGTCAGTGATGATTTTTCTACTTTTGTTAGTTTTGAGTTTGTTTGGAGAGTAGTCTGGAACGACGTGTCTGCTTCTGGTGTTGTTTTGTTCTTGTGTGTATTTGTCTGGTCGTAGCGCATGTGTTATATTGTCTAGTTATGTTCGTGTATAAGCTTTGAGAGGTGCGTTAGAAATGAGGCTTATGAGGGGTTAGTGCTGAATGTGTATAGTAATAATTTATTAATGTTGTGGTATTATTTTTAGATTGTTTGTTTCATGGGGTTATGCTGTGTCCCAGCCCAGCAGTTGAGATTGATTTGCTGTCTGCCAAATGGGATGGATGTTATGCCTGATAGTATTTCTTTGAGAGGTTATTAAGGGTGGTGCAAGGTCTTGTCCTAAGGTCTATTTTTAATGCTTTATATTGGATGGAGTTAAGTTCTGCATAATTTGCAATGGAGTTTAATACCGGAGCAACATAATCCAGTTTAAATTGGATAAGTGTTTTGTATATGTTCAGAAGTCTTTGTCGGCTCCCAATCAGAGCCGCTTATGGATTATGAGGTAAAGGTCTTTTTGACGAGAATTGACCAATTATTAAAATGGGGTGACCGAGTTAAGTGTTGGTCAAATGTGAGTCCTGGGATATAGCTTTTTTGGAAGTTATTTCTCCAAAGATCATTACATTCGTTTTATGGTCGGCATGTGGGCGACATATCCAAAAATGACGTCCGATGCAATTCCCTATTTTTTACTTGTACCATATGTTCCCGTGTTTTTTTAAGTGAACATTTGACTTGCCTTTGCATGTGTTTGTGACAGGTGCCACCGGTGGGACAGGATACTCTCACCTTTTGGGGAACACCTGGTGTCACTACTCTTTAACATTGATTCATAAACACATGCTCATGAGATAGTTGGAATCGTACAATCCAGATTTCTATTGGATATGGAAAGGGTTTTGTCGCTTTATTTAAATGTCCAAGTGAAAGTGCTGTAATCTACGGAGACTGTGTGATCGGGGACGTAGCCTAAAGCTATCGGCGCAACGCAGGAGGGAACGTGAAAATGTTTCAATGGCTGATATAAAGACTTGGTAAAAGCGTCTATGTACTATATGATTTATCTTGTGAATCCGCGGCCTTTGACGTCACGAAAGGGTTGCGGAACAAATCACCGCGTCGCTTCCTCGCTGTATGAATGGTTATTGCACACTACTGACGGTTTGACTGACAGCTGTACCTGAGCGTTTGAGCGATATTATAAGAGTTTATTATGTTTCCTCTCGAAAGTTTTAACAATGATATTCTTGTTTTCTGAACATAGTTGCGAAATGGGAAATAGACATTCCAGTGAATATAATATTATCGCACACTAAACAGAGACACATATGTGAATTTTGTGCTTGTAAATGTGAAACAAAAGTTACTTTCATTTGCGGTTATATAAATGATGTCTTTAAAACGTTTACACGCCAAATGTCTTCTGACAACAAGGATATGGCCAGTTTTGCGGTTTTATTATTAATAGGATGTTGAAAAACGTGTTATGTTGCCTTCTTTCCTCGATCCACTGAAAACACAATTAATCTCAATTAGTCACCAGCACAAACGCACGCACACCTCCACCTCCCTAAACCGTGACCCTTAATTTGAATTTTGAACTTTTTATTTCTCCATAACAGCAATGTATTACATATTTCGAGTATATTTACATATGTACAAATTTCTGTCTTGATGATGAATACCTCACAAAGAAAAAATTAACGGAATTCGTCGACAATAGCTGGTAATTTACATGATGTATAAGTTCTAAGTTTTCTCGGTACCGCATGCAAGCGGCCTGTTTCAACAGGTGGACTAAGATTAGTAGTTAAGTATCTAAGACTGGGGTAAGAAATCGCTCTGAGAGAGATGGAAGCTGTTTAACAAATTGACAGTGATTACGTTTGAACTAGCTAAAATATTGATTCTCAATATTTAAAAAAAAAATTTGGCACTCTTTCCACAGTTATGTCAATCCATTCGTTATGGAAATTTTGAAGAACGAGAAATACTTCGGTCAAGTATTATTTACAGACCCCCGTCATATAGCTGGAATATTGGTGAGTGCGGCGTTAAAAAACAGAGAACCACAAAACACATGCAAAGGCAAGTCAATTGTTCACCTGAAAAAAACACGGGAACACAATGTCATGGTACAAGTTATTTCAACTTTATTTCAAAAACTCTATATTTCCAGAAAAAAATTCTCGTCACTTCGATTATTTCCTCCTAATTTTCGATTTTTTGTCTCTCGTAATTTTAAGTTTGCCTGGTTATTTTGAACTTTTTTGCCACAATTCTGTTTTTGTCCTGGAACCAAATCTAGAAGACGCATTCGATGGAAGGAGGGGTGGACACTTCGGAACTGCAGGTCATTTTACGTAAAAGCACGGCAACGACCAGGCGTTTCTTATATTACTCTTCAGCGTGAGAAGGTAATTCGTTTATTTATCTCAAATTAATAGTCCCCCCAAAAGTGATTTCCTATCAAATTTGTCTGTGGTAATAAGCTAATTGTCCTTCAAAATTCTGCCACTGGTTCTTCCAGACAGTCGTCTCATTTGTATGCAAATGATTGTTGCCGATGTGACGTAAAGCATAAACACACTCACTCACGCAAATGATTGTCTCGTTGGTATGCAAATGATTGTCTCGTTGGTATGCAAATGATTGTCTCGTTCGTATGCAAATGATTGTCTCGTTCGTATGCAAATGATTGTCTCGTTGGTATGCAAATGATTGTCTCGTTGGTATGCAAATGATTGTCTCGTTGGTATGCAAATGATTGTCTCGTTGGTATGCAAATGATTGTCTCGTTGGTATGCAAATGATTGTCTCGTTGGTATGCAAATGATTGTCTCGTTCGTATGCAAATGATTGTCTCGTTCGTATGCAAATCACTGCACGAAGGTAAAACTGGGAGACAGTGGGTGTACATTTTTATTGAAGAAACTTTCAAAGGCAACCTGAAACCAGTCAGTTGAAACACACACGTGACTTGATATGTATTACGTCAATTAGAGACTTCCTTGAAAGAAGTCGGTGTCAAGCACTGATAAGTCACTTTGTCATTTCAAACGAACATGGACATAAATTGCATCACACTAAACATTAATTGTTATATTAGATGCACAGAAGGACACTGGTCTGTGTAACATTGTCTGACAATTACAACTTTTAAAATTGTTAATAACTGCACCGATACGCATGCTGTTGCACGTGGTGCACGAGCTTTCGTTAAAACAACACTAAACGGTTACAACAGATTGGCGATCTTAGCACTTGACTCATCACTTTCATTGTCCAAATAATCTGTTCTTATAATATTTTTTTCAATATAAATAAAGAATAATTGCAGTGTCCCCATTATAACCTCTGCTCTTCTCGGTTTTTCTCTATGATATAGAATGACAAGCTATTGTTTCATGCTCTAAAAAATTGCAGCAAAGTTAAAATACAATGCTCTGCTGTGTCTACAGCTAGTATGCAGATGATATACAGTCGTGCCTCGTTTATACGGACACTTGCGTCATTTCACAATTCGTCCGTATAAACGAATTTCCGTATAATTGAAACCAGCTTCTTACTGGAAGAGTTACTTCCCTTCAATTATGCAACTCATGACAGATGACAGAGCAAACAGATACATCCACTCAATCTTTATTCAAGACATACACGTTTCAAAAAATCTGTCATGGAAGTTTGAACTTTACCACATTTTTAGGTTTGAATTAAACAATAATTCCAAATTGTCCAGATAGCCTGTGTTCTCGTAATATGTAATCAAGGTCTCTTCACAAGCACAAGCTTGCTTGTGAGTGACTGTAGTGGGTTGGAGGGGCTGCTCGTCTTGGTCATCGTCTGAATCTTGCTCCGGCTGTGTTACGGCTTTTCACGAAAAGAAAACTAACAGAAGCAGTCCACATTCGCCGCCACAAGCCATCAATCAACAGAGATTAAGGCTATTTCATTCCACCCGCCTATTATGAACTCATCAAACAATAATCACCTGTCACTCATGTATGCTTTTTGTTGTTACTGTTTATCCTCTACTGTTAATCCTCCACCTACTATATATATTCTGCACTATGTCCCTCATTCAGTCCTGCTTGACAACGGTATAAGGATCTATACCGAAACGTCGCTTTTCACAGTATTAAAGAAGTTGTTATCCATAAAATTGTGTCTTTCTCGTCATTTTAACTTAATTCAACTATTTTATATCGATATTGAAATATTTCGCAAATGGGCGAGAAAAAGGTCTGGCCCATGGGCGAGAATATTTTCCTTTGCTCAAAACTCATGTTTTTGTTTCGCAAATACATAAATGTATTTCTTTCTAGTATCATGACGCAAAATTTAACTCATTTTTATATATTTTCATAAGGAAACAGCTGATGAATCATGCTCCGGAAATGAACCAAACCTCTTTCGACAAGCACCAATTGCTTCGAAACCAAAAAGGATGTTTTAAATATCTTAAATAGCACAAGTCCCTTTCAACAAAATACTGGTGTATGTACACACACTTGTAAATCATGATCAGGAAACGAACCCTGCTTTATTTAATACTATGTTAGAAAAAGCGCCGGTTCTACCCACAAAAAGACTGAGTATGGTTTTAGCAATATCACGGCAGGGGACACCAGATCCCACGCAAAGAAGAGACATAACAGACAGGTAGGGTCACAAAAAGTACCATATTTTAAAGTCTCAAGAATCAATTATTTAGAGGCCGCCATCATATAGCTGAAATATTGCGGCGTTTACAACAAACAAGTATGATGTGGGAGGACAATTCAATCTTGTTGATAATTCCCAGTCCTAAAACAGGACCCTAACCCAACCAAAACATTTAGCAACATGATCCAGTGAGAATGTGTCCCTTAATTGCAACGCTTCATGTAAATGGATAACAGAGGATTCGTGTATATGAATAACATAGTATATACATGCAGAGACACATTTGAACAGTTTGTTTTTTGTGCTAACGCCTACCAATTGAGTAGTGTGACTGCCCCGCATCACATGTGCCTTATTCTGTATTATCCCATTAGTCACCCACGTCATTAGATGCACGTCGAGTAGGAATGACGTGTGATCAGCAGATTATAAGTGATCATCGCCGTGCAGCTGGTTACTGTCCCCCTGCAAGGATGTGTACCTCAGGTAGGTTAATTAATCTGGCTTAATTGTGTATTGCATACTTTACGCTATTTCTTTAACTGATGGGGCGGTCGGATAGCCTAGTGGTTAAAGCGTTCGCTCGCCACGCCGAGACCCGGGTTCGATTCCCGACATGATTAAGGCGCCGCAATTTGCTGTGCAGAGTTGCGTCCCTTGGGCATGCCAGAAACCTATGTCTGTGGGTTCGATTCCCGGTTCGCCCCGATTATGTTTCTGGGTTTGTCAGCACAATACCCGTGCTCGTAGGTAAACGACTGAGACCTCCATGACTTCGGGCTTTCCTCCCACTTAAGCTGACAAGCCGTGATATACCTGGAAAACTGTTAAAAGCGGCGTTAAACCCAACTCACTCACTCACTCACTCACTCATTGACAGTAATTCGGAGGAGACCATACTTGTTTAGAAATGTATATAAAACGTACTATACTTATTTTGTATATGTGTTTAAAGACAACGGCATAATGTAATGTTTTAGTAGAAGATGGGTCTGATAATAGTTGGTTGGTTTGTTGTTTAACGCCGCAATCAGCAATATTCCAGCTATATGACGGCGGTCTGTAAATAATCGAGTCTGGGCCAGACATTCTAGTGATTAATATTATGAACATAGATCTACGCAATTGGGATCGATGACATGTATCAACCAAGTCAGCGAGCCTGAACACTCGATCCCGTTAGTCGCCTTTTACGACAAGCATAGCCGCCTTTTACGGCAAGTATGGGTTGCTGAAGACCTATTCTACCCCGGAATCTTCACGGGTCTACCAAGGAAGTAAAATGGGTATGCAAAGCCGGAGTGATGAATGGGTGACAGCAAAACTATTTGTTAAGGAGGCTGCACAATAATATTTTCGCGTTGTACAAGTATACATATCATCATTTTTCAATTGATATTTCTCTGTGTAAATGTACTGGCACATACAAACGATATGATGCTTCATACGTTCTGACTCCATGAAGATGAAGTAATTATAAGCGACAACCAATATCCATAAGCATTTAATATCTTTCCCCGAACGTGTGTGTGTGTGTGTGGCTGCTTGTACTAGTCCGGAGGGTTAATGCTGACACTCAGACACAGTATGCTGACTCCAAGCCGAATAGTCCTTGTTTTAGACCCTTAATGCCGAAGGTAACAACAAGCACCATTTATAACGTCTTTTTGTATGACGCGGCCGGATGTTCCTTTGTCCAATACACCGCTTTGCCCAGACGAGTGGTAGAAGGGGCCCGATTCTATCAATCGGCTGGTCATGTCAGGCCGTGTGCATACATGTTTGGATTTTCTAAAACTCATTCATTCTAAATGTCTATTTTATATGTATCAATCTATAAACTCGTTTAGAGCCCTATGCCCAGAAGGCTCATGCGCCAATCTGGTGATGCTGACCTCCGAATTATGTACGTCTCCAACTGACTGTCATGGGCCAGCCTGACTTTTCATCGGTAGATAGCTCTAAGTTTTCAAATTTGTCAAATTTACTGGACACCCCTTTATTCTTATTTTTGCAGCTTGGAGATCCGCTGCAGCATATAAATGTCCTTGTTTGACACTCAAAGGTGGGTGGGAAAAAGGGGTGCTGAATCTTTCTCTTTGCGACATGCCTTCCCAACACCCTGTCTCGAAATGAGGTGAGGTGAGGTGAAATTGGGTTTAACGTCGCGTCCAAGGTTATTGCACTTATATAGCGACGTGCATGTACGTGTATGTGTTTGTGTGGCTGCTTGTACTAGTCCGGACTGATGCCGATTTATAGTGCTAGCTCACTGAGATACCATGCCGCAGTTCAACATGAATACCCCACTCAGACACAGTATACTGACTCCGAGCCGACCAGTCCTTGTTTTAGCCACTTAATGCCGAGCGCCAGACAGGGTAACAACAAGTACCATCTTTTAACGTCTTTTGGTGTGACGCGGCCGGGGATCGAACCCCGGACCTTCCGCTCTCCGGGCGGACGCTCTACCACAAGACCACGGAGGCGGTCGTCTCGAAATGAAGACATATGGACATCTGACGAAACTACCCCCAACTAATCTCACTATTGGCCACGTTTTGTATTTTTGAAGCTTGTGACAGGAAACCCATCAAACTGAATTCGTTTGCAATCTCCAACGGTATCGCTGGTATTTTAGGAAGGCGATCTCACCTTTGGTCCTCTGGACTCCATCTCAACATGACCCAAATAGGAGTGATGCAAAGTCTTCCTCGCATTCGCCTGATGTATCTCATGTCGAGGTACCGTAAATCCACAAAACATTACACAATGGAATTGCAGAGGCCTTAAGAAGAATTTTAATGAAATACACATGTTTCAATATTTAAAAGCGTATGCTTTTTGTCTCCAAGAAACAGTTCTTACCACTCGATAAGGCTTCAGGAGATTGTTCTATCCTGGTGAGGCAGGGCATCAACAAAAACCTTGTTCCATCCATGTTTTCACTCCATGAATTACATACTGTCCTCGGTCATGGCACTACACCATTCATTATAAACTCCTAAAACACTGCTCAATATATTTGATTTTCCCTCCTTCGTGGCATAATGCCATCATAATTTCTATACCAAGCTGTGGCTGGTATCATACTGAACCATCCAATTACCGTCCAATATAATTAACTAGTTTGTAAAACCATGGAGCGTATGTTCAACAATCGATTAGTCTAGTACTTGGAGACCAATATTCAACTCGGTGACATCCAGCAAGTACCATGGACCATTTGGTGCGTTTAGAATGATTTTTTAAAGAATCCCTTGTCAACAAACTGTTGCCGAATGCGAACCGTCTTTGTCGGTTCACTGTCCGGTCACTGTCGGATCTTTGTCGGATTCCATTCGGGAGAATCGTGACGCTGTCGGGACAGATTCGGTCTTTTTTTCCATGCGGAAGATACAAATCGGATCAGATTCGGACTGAGAACGGGAGAATCGGGACGAATTCGGCTGGAAACGGCTGAATCGGGACGCTTCCTGAACAATATCTGATTTGTGAATTTCTCGCCACGAATCACAGGATCTTGATCAGACTTTTGACAAACTTTAATCGGGAATGGTCCTATCAAGAACGGCAGTAAACATCCTGAATCTGTTACTTGGCCCTTACTGTCATCAACCAGTGTTTTAAGTCTACTCATTGCTTAGAATTTTTTAATATTGGCTAGTATTGTGCACAACCACCAGTAGCTAAAGTGATGAAGTAATTCTTGATGGGGTATTGTGCAGAAAGCTGAGACACTGTAAGTCCCCATGATCCCAAGCGAAGTGGCATAGCTTTTGCTTATAACCCGTTTTGAACAGTTGTAAAAAATATTGTTATGATTGATTGTGTCTGACAATTTTGTTTTTAGATACAACTTTCAATTCCAGACTCAATTGTATACGTATTAACTTGTTCTCATCGTTATATTGCGGAACTATTGACGATGTGATGGTAAATTCTAATTCACACTCTGAGTTTCCTCCCACATCAAGCTGATACGCCCTTATAGAACCGCAATACTGTTCAAAACGGCGTTAAACCTCACGCACTCATTCGTTAATATGCGCATCACAGTGTTCTGCAAAGGTTATAAGGGACTCAAGTTTGCCCTAAAAGATGTAATCACAACTTATAATGCGTTTACTTGCAAAATATAACTGAAGTTGATGCTCATTTACTGACTGATCCTCATAAAATGCCCGATTCCATCTGCAGGTTCTGTTTGGAAGCGTTAATACAAGAGCTAGATTAAAGACTCAACTAGTTTGTGGGGGAGAATGGTGTCTTCTGTTATCGATTCAGCAAATTATGTTCTCTTATGTGATCATATTTTAATTGTTCTAAATGACCATCAAACAAAGACCATTGTTTCCCCCACACCATGCCACACTCGTATACCATATTAAACCCAATTCACACCTCTTATCTAGCTGCTTTATCTGACGGTTGAATACTTCTACGAGGAAATAGAGATATGTCGTACTTCTTTTGGTTTATGGTCGTTTTTTTGTCACAGGTTCCGTTGCATGAATGATGTCAGGTGAGAAGGAACTAATCAAAGACGACACCGGGGTGTTTGCTCTTTTAGAGACTGGAAAGTCAGATGTGAGTAGAGTCATATGTTTCAAAGATGAAAGTTCAGTTAGTTCAGGGCCCACTTGCACAAAGCGATCTTAGCGCTACGAATAGTGTAAGCCTATGTTAAAGTATGGGAGTTAAGATCATCCTAGCGCTAAGATCGCTTTGTGCAAGTGGACCCAGATCAGGGTTCGTTGCACAAAGAGACTGTAGCACTCCGAGAGTCATAAGTCGATGTTAAAGTGTGGGAGTTAAGATCATCTTAGCGCTACGATCGCTTTATGCAAGTGGACCCAGATCAGGATTCGTTGCACAAAGAGACTGTAGCACTCCGAGAGGCATAAGTCGATGTTAAAGTATGGGAGTTAAGATCATCTCAGCGCTACGATCGCTTTGTGCAAGTGGACCCACATCAGGATTCGTTGCACAAAGAGACTGTAGCACTCCGAGAGTCATAAGTCGATGTTAAAGTGTGGGAGTTAAGATCATCTAAGCGCTACGATCGCTTTGTGCAAGTGGACCCAGATCAGGATTCGTTGCACAAAGAGACTGTAGCACTCCGAGAGTCATAAGTCGATGTTAAAGTGTGGGAGTTATGATCATCGCCTCAGAGCTATGATCGCTGTTTGGAGCGGACCTCAGGGCTCGTCTGTTCACGGAAGACTATTGGTTCACATTCAATTTGTCTACAGTGTGTAATTCGACATAATGGAAATTAACGACTTTCTTTTTGTTGGATATTAATCTATGCCATTGTATTGCAAATAAAATTGTTAACGGAGGTCTGCCAATTTTATTCATTCTGTCAACACTCAAACACAGGGTTTACAAAATATTGTATATACAAGAAACATATTGCTGGTTTATTAATAAAGAACATGGAACGGTAAATAACCATTTTCCCCACATGAGCAAAACATTTATCAACTATTATATCATAATCCATTTCTCCATTTGTAAATGATAAAGAGGGACAAAGCGGACTTCGAGGAAAATGGACTTCTGACACATTTGGATGACCTGTCGGTCGAGGAGGAGGAAAGAGAAGAAGAGAGAGAAGATGAGGAGGAGTTTCGAGAGTACTACTTGAAATGTGGAGGAAGGGTGGCTAAAACGAGAGCCGCAATCTTACACAAATTGAGTCAACACAAAACGATTATCGGTCGCGTTGTAGGGTCAGTTATATTAATAGTCTATCTTGTGTACCTTGGGTTCTGCATGGACTACGCATTTGGAGATGAAGGCTCAATCCGGCTTGTCTGGGGGACGTGTTTTGTTTTGTTTATTATTGGGTACAGCAACTTCAGCGAGAAAATCTTCAAAAAGATTGGAGGTGTTTGCAGATGCCGGACGCTGAGAAGGCCCGTGGTTAGGAAGGGAATAAGATGGTGAGATTTATACCGTATTTGTAGAGGAAATTATACACTTTTTTGTTATAAGTGTATTTTATTGGAACTTCTTATTTTAGTGCAACACATTTATATTCTTTCCTTTTTATACATATCCCAATATTTTAATTCTGTTTGAAATGATAACTCTCTATTATTGTTTTGAGATGAATAAAGCCACACACTTATTCATCCTATATTTAAAAAAAAAATCTCATCTACCTAATACTCAAAAAGACAATTGGTTCTCATGGAACAATAGCGCCTGAAGTGATTTGCTGTTTAATTATTACATTATTATGTGATAAGAAGCTGTATTACATCTGTTATATCCGATTTTCCTACCCTTGTGTGCTTTTGTTTCAGGTTCCTTTACCTGTCCATACTTGGGTTTATTATCGCTTACCTGTGTCTAACTATTCTACAAACAAGTCCAGAGAACTTCCTCTCCCTCGCAGGACTGGTCTTCTTCATAAGTATCGGTTACATGTTCTCCAAACACCCAGACCTGGTAATATTTGTTTGTTGTTTAACGCTGCACTGAATATTATTCCAGCTATATGACGGCGGTCATCATGAACATTCGATCTTTGCAACTGGGATACGATGACATGCTTCAATCACGTCAGCGAGCCTGACCAGACGATCACATTTGTCGCTTCTTACGACATGCATGGGTTGCTGAAGACCATTTCTAACCCTGATCTTCAAGGGGAGAGTTGGTAATAAGGTTATACATTAAATTATGTCAATGACATCATTTAATAAACCTAAAGAGGTTTGGCCTAGTCTTCTAGTGCGTCACAACACTATGTGCATAGTTGCCCCAGCCGTGCCAGAATCCAAGGATCGTGATTCGAATCTTGCATCCGCCATGATATAATTCTTGGTTTGTCAGCACCATACTCATGATCGTGTTTATCGCATAATTGATAACCGTTTAGGACCTATTAAACTTTGGGTATTTTGGGGCATTAAGCTGATACACCGTGACATAACTGAAGCTTTAAACACAGCTCACTCAGCAGTCATGAAGACTTCATGATCAAATTCAGTTATATAAATGTTTGAAGTCGTATGCATTTTTAATTGTATTCACCTCTATAACCAAAACCTCACTCATTAACAAACTTAATAATGGATCATCAGCTAATATATCTAAATGCACAAACCACTTAAAATCGCAATTTCAGAAAGCAATCCCAATCTGTATTGAGAAATCTCTCATTTCCTACAGGTAAACTGGCATGCAGTGTTTTGGGGGATTACCACACAGTTCCTGTTTGCGCTGTTCATCCTCAGGTCCAGATTTGGATACAGTGTTTTCAACTGGCTGGGGGCGAGACTCGAAGAGTACATGAGGCACACAGACAAAGGCTCTCAATTTGTGTTTGGGGACAGCTTCAGAGATCACCAGTTTGTATTTGTGGTGCGTTTGTCTTTGTGCTGACATCAGCCATCCCCATCTCTTCCTGTAGACACGTGCACCTCGAGGTGGCCGGTGTATGGCATCATTATAATAATGTACTGTACATGTAGTGGACAGTAGCCATTCCGATCACTTCCTGGGGGCACGGGTGGCCCAGTCGTCCAAGGCGCCGCGATTCGCTGTGCAGAGTTGCATCCCTTGGTCACGCCAGAAACCTATGATTGTGGGTTCGAATCCCGGTTCGCCCCGATTATGTTTCTAGGTTTGTCAGCACCATACCCGTGCTCGTTGGTTTCACCGAACTGGTAAACGTCTGAGAACTGCATCACTTCGGGCTTTCCTCCAACATTAAGCTGACACGACGTGATATAACTGGAATACTGTTAAAAGCGCCATTAACCCAACTCACTCACTCATCACTCACTTCGACCAATTTCTGCACATCAATGTGGCGATGACCATCTGTTTGTCGATGACTACTCTCGTCCTAACGTCAAGACACGACTATATGAAACGAACTTAACAGCAATGTTTTTTTTGCAAAGGCAGACGTCTTAACACGTTGAAACGCAAATGATCATTTCAAAATTCAAACAACGTGAATCATGACAGAAAACTTGGTTCACCATTGACATCTCTGAACTAAATGAACAACGCTGTAAGCTGAGGCTAATTTATCGCATATTCTTGCCACGCACCTATGGTAAATATTCTACATGTACATCATCCCCCCCCCCCCCCCCCCCCAAAAAAAAAAGCAGTGTAATGGTGACACCGCTTTAAAATTGTTTTATCATTTCAGACAATGCCACTGATTATTTTCATGAGTTCCACAGTCAACATGCTGTACCACTATGGGGTGCTCCAAGCTTTCGTCAAGAACTTCGGGAAGTTCCTCTACTTCTGTATGGGTACGAGCGCTATTGAATCTGTGAACGCTGCCTTCAACATGTTCCTTGGACCCGTGAGTACACACAATGCATACCATCACACGAAACGTAACCAGTCGCCATTCTATAATGCCAAACCGTACGATTTTATGTCTTTAAGGTTGGGATTAACATGGTCCTAAGTTCTGTAGGCATAATAGGTTTACCCTTGAACTAATAATAAACTGATAATGAAGTTAGAAACGATCGGATGACCTTGAACCATGGGTAAGTAATTGCTGCAGGTGGTAATACCGCCATTCCACTAAGCGGCGCTTTGTGGCACTTCTACACATCGCCATAGATCGCCATATAGAGCTCTAAGATCTCCAAAAGTGTTAATGGATCGCTATCTGATCTCTAACTGATCTCCATGATCGTCAAGGTCGCCGCCTGTCGACTTCCCTGCACAAAGATCCATGGCACTCTGCACAGAATGCTGTCAGATCGTTACTTGATCGCCGAGATCGCCATCGGAGCGCTACTTGATCGCCAAGGTCGTAACCAGAGCGCTATGTGATCGCCAAGGTCGTAATCAGAGCGCTACGTGATCGCCAAGGTCGTAATCAAAGCGCTATCGTATCACCTCAGAGCGCCGCCAATCGCCACGAAAGACTAGGACCTACCCCTCTACTACCAAGCGTAGAACTGATGACCGACTCAGAACCCTACGAGTTTGTGTAGGATCAGACCCAAAATTCGGCGATCGGGTCACACGCTAATTGAGTATCAATGGATCTCCATAGGTCGCCTCGATCGCTCTCGGATCGAAGTAAATCGCATTAGATCGAAACGATAGCCATCGGAGCGCAAATAGAGCGTCATTGGATCGCATCCTGATCGCCATGGATCGAAAAAGGAGTGGGAACTGATCGTGTAAGATCGCCACATTTTTGGTTGTTTGGTTACGATCAAGGGTCTTCAAGTCGCTATTTGATCGCAACAGGAGCGCTATCTGATCGTCATCAGATCATAAGTGCCCCTAGACAGCCGAAAAATGAGGAGACCCATGGCGCTCCCTAAGAGCGCGTAGAGCGCAGAAGAGTGTCGCCTAGTGGAATGGGGGTTATAACCTGCATAACCTGCATCAACCTTCCTTGTACGTGGTGGCTAGTTCTTAGCCTAACTAGAAAGGAGGTGAAGTGAAATGAAATGGTCTTTCACGTTGCGTCCAAGATTATTTCACTTATATAGCGACGTGCCACGTATGTGTGTGTGTGTGTGTGTGTGTGTGGGCGTGTGTGTGCGCTCGTACTGGTCCGGACTAATGCCGATTTTGTAGTGCTAGCCCACTGGGATACCATGTCACAGCTGAACATGAATATCCTGCAAAGAAACAGTATACTGACTCGAGACGACCAGTCCTTCTTTTAGACCCTTAATGGCGAGCGCCAGACAGCGTAACAACAAGTACCATCTAACGTATTATGGTATGACACGGCCAGGGATGTAATCTCAGACTTTTCGGGCGGACGACTAACCACTAGACCACGGAGGCGGTCAAACTACAGTAACTGTTGATGAAAATGGACAAAATTGGTATCATGATGACCAAATATCTCAAATTGAAAGAGCCAACTTCTACAGCCATCCACGCGGAGATGGTGTCATTGGCAGATATGTATGGACCTTGCGGATAATTATGTTGAAAACTAAGTAGCAACGAACTCTAGTGTGATTGTGTGATAGTTTTCAACTACCCATTTTCAAGCACTCCTTGTATATCAACATTTAACGTTTTCCTGCAGCTTAACCCTCATTGTAGGTGGACTCACATGAAAATGATCTCAACTAAGTGAAGATAAAAATATATTATATTAACAGTAAATGTCATCATTATGATCACTTGTACATGTTGACCACGTAGTGATGTATTACGTGATTCTTGTCATGTTCCCACTTCAGTCCGAGGCTCCAATGGCTATTAAACCCTTCCTGCCACTACTGACTGCATCCGAGATGCATGCCATCATGGTGGCAACATTCGCCAGTATTTCTGGAAGTGTTTTTGGAATGCTTGTGAACTTTGGAGTAAGTAATATGCCCATATCCATCTCTTTATCTCTCTATATACATATAATTAGAGCAAGCCTTCATAATTTATTAGACAGAAGATAATGACGTACCTTGTCGGTGGACCTACCCCATTTAGTCTTAGACCCCTCTCTAGTCTACTCCATCTAATCTGACACTCCCATCTGGTAGACCCCTATCTAGTCTGACTCCCTATCTTGTCGCTATCGCTGGCAATTTTCAGTGTGTATTACGTTCCTTGATTAGAAGTAGCGTGTGCAATACAATACTGCTATCTTGGACAGTAATATTAACTTTCTGTGTCAGTTATGTCAGTCGTGAGCGAAAGTAACTTTTAAATTCGATGTCATGGGAAAGCTCACAGGATGTGACATCACCGCTTTAATCTTTTGCTCTTCTGCGTGTATGTTGCTTCCTCATTGTTTTGTTTGTGTAAAACATATTGATTGATGTATTGTGTACATAATTTAATTCAGCTTGCCTATTGTTTGATAAGCAAAACAAATATCATCACAGTGACATCACGAATATTACCCATTCCTCAAATAGGCTGAACAGCCCTGTTGTCCTCAAAACTTGACATACATGATATGGTTGTTCAAAGACATGTACTGAATATCTACCTTGATGTTTATTGGTTGTACCGCTCAGAATGGGTCGGGTAGCCCAGTGATTTAGGCCTTCGATCTTTGCGCCAAGTACCCGGGTTCAGTTCCCCACATGGGTACAAAGTCCAATTGTTGTGTGTCCCTCAGAGTACCTGGGTTCAATTCCCCACATGGGTACAAGTCCAATTATTGTGTCCCCCTCAGGGATACAGCTTGAATATTGCTAAAAGCAGCGTAACAATCATATTCACTCAATCACTTGCTCAGAAAGGTTTCTTGTGTTGTGTTTCCTGTTATGAGTATTCCCTTGCAGGCCCCGGCCAACCACCTTCTCACAGCGTCTGTGATGTCTGCCCCCGCCGCCCTTGCCATGGCCAAACTGACCATGCCGGAGACAAGAAGGACAAGGGTCCAACCAGAGGATGCTTACAATATAAGAATGGCGTGAGTTGCAATAAGGAATGTGCTGTAGTGTCCATGCATACACACAAGGTGTGGTAAATAAAGTAGAGGATGTATTTATTTGTCACCCAATCTGTTTATCCCATCGAGTGTCCTGACAAAGTGGATATTTTCAGTTTTTACATGATTGCATAATGTCATCAACTGTCAGGCACAATATATTGTAAACCCACATAAGGAACATGTTACCCCAAAATTCATGCACACAAATCTAAGTAAATTGTAAATACACGTGTCTACTGTGTATCTGGGACGAATAGTCACCTGATGTAATGAATGCAGGCCTCTTTGGAACCCTATTGCCTGCAAGGTTCAACAAATAACCTGAAAACTGGACCAAAATCAAGACTCTGTCTTCTATTTTGTCACTAAGCGGGTTTTGATATGAACTTACTCATCTTCCAGAAAATTTCAGAGCGTATTAGAAGCTATATCTGTCGGCGCAGTTGACGGCATCACATTGGCGTCCACCGTCGTTGTCAACCAGATCGTCTTCATCGCTGCCATTGAATTTATAGACACAGGACTTCAATGGTTTGGTGACAGGGTTGGGATGCATCACGTGACATTTTCGGTATGTCTATTGTGGGGAAATAGTAAAGCTGGTTGATGTAGTGCATTGACGTTCCCTGGCAAATCGCTGAGGCGTCTCACCTAGCCTAGTTTACCTTATGTTCAATCTCATTAAAATCAGATCTAAGTTCTCGCTACCGCTAAACAAAGATCTGAGGACATCCCATTACGGGTCACGTCAGACCGACCTTGCGCGAACTTTGACCGACCAATGGAATGACCAATCAGAAGGCAGCTTTCTCGTGCTTTACGGCACAAATTTCAAATTGGCAACTACGCTTCGAAACATATTTCATCAAATTCTCGATTACAAATTTGAAACCTGAACAAAAAACATCATGGAATGGCTAATAGACGGTTTGGATTGTAAGGATTCAGTCGTTAAACCCATAACGATCGTTCGGAATACCCAATGTTAAAGTTTTCGAGATTGCACGATTAGAAATCACATTCCGACTGTCACTTTCATAGTCCGGTAAGCGACGCACTGATTGGTCGGATGAAGGTCGTTCTGACGTGACCCCTAATGGGATGTCTTCAGATCATTGTTTAGCGGTAGCGAGAACTTAGATCTGATTTAAATGAGTTTGCCTTATGTTTGTTGTAAGAGACGACTGACAGGATTGGCAGGTCAGGCTCTGTGACTTGGTTGATATCACCGTCTCCAAGTTGCGAAGATTGATGCGCATGATGTTAATAATGTATTGTCTCTTTGTGTGCTATAAAACAACAAACAAACAAAACAAAACTCCTTAGGGTTAGAACACATGGTTCCAACTGACCGATCCCCACTCCATATTGTGGACAGAACTATCAGGACAATATACTGAGACCCGTTGTTTTCCCGTTTGCAAGGAGTGTGCGTCGACGTTAGTGTCGTGCATTGAGTCGAAAAACACGTCACAGTATTTTTTGTTGTTGCACACTATTGATTTTGTGTCTGAGCTAAACAGCTAAATATTATTGGAAAGGAAGTCACTTGCCTCAGGAATGTTGCTCGTAGGCAAGGTCGGTAATTTTGAACAATTTCACAATTGTGAAGTAAACATCCAGAAATAGTTTCACAATGCGTTACGAATGTGTTGCGGCTACACCCATTCATGTTTCCATTGAAACGTGTCCATGTTCTCTCCTCCGCAGCTCCTCTGTTCCTATATGTTCTATCCTCTGGCCTATATAATGGGCTTCCCCAAGGTCGACCTCTTCAAGATAGGGGAACTGATGGGCATCAAAATCTTCGCCAATTCTTTTGTTGGATTTATGGAGTTTGGCAGGCTGGTCCTTAACAGAAAGGATCTCGAGCAGTACCAGCTGGTTCACAATGGCACCTGGCACTGGCAAGATGGCAACGTTATTTTGGACGCAACCAATGTAACATTGGTCGGTGGAATTCTTCAGGTTAGTTTGTAGGGCTGTCTTGTAGATGTGCCTCCATACCCCATTTAATAACGTAACCATGGAGAAAGTGGAACTGTCTCTGCGGGTATGTCTGGAACTAATATTACCTCATCCGCAAACAAGAGTGCTGGAATATTATACATAGCATCAGATTCCTTCATTTGTACATGCGTTCATAGATTCAAGCACTCCTTTGATACGTGTTGAGGAAACGATAAGGCTAAATGTAATTCAAAATAGTGTGACACGCACATCTTCCCTGCTCAATGACAACAGCAGATTTACCATTATCATACAGACTTTGAAGTACCTTGAAAATCGTTCTCCAAAAGAAGATAAAACAACTTATTCCTATTAACAATGTCGAATGCTTTCTAAAAATCTACGAAAGCGCAGTAACGTTTACCTTTCTTCCGAGTGGTGTGTTATTAAATCATAGACTCTAATATGAATCTATTACAGAAGACAAGGAGCTCAAAGGGACCACAAGTTTGTTATCTCTAATGTAGAGTGGTGTTTTCTAAATTTACTTTGGTACCCACCAATAAAATTAGAGCTTTCATTTACATATTCAATTCTCTTGCATAAAATAGAAGTTAATTACTTATAGTATTCAGCGACCCGTGAAGATTCCCGGGGTAAATACATGTAGGTCTTCAGCAACCCATGCTTGCCGTAAAAGGTGACTAGGCTTGTCGTAAAGCTAGGCGACTAACGGGATCGGGTGGTCAGACTCGCTGACTTGGTTGCGTGGATCGATGTTCATGATATCAATCACTGGATTGTCTGGTCCAGACTCGATTATTTACAGACCGCCGTCATATAGCTGGAATATTGCTGAGTGCGGCGTTAAACTACAAACCAACCAAACCAACCAAATATAGTATTCAGCAATGAAATATCTCGTGAGTAGCTAGGTTCATTGACACCTGCTCTCTATGTAACGGTACAATAAAAGCACCAGTCAATCAAGTGGAAACTGACCTTTATATAATATTTGTGTAAACAACAAAGTTGGTATTGTACAATTGTAACATAAATATTGTTAAAGGATTCATATAGGAGATCATCACCTTTTTTCAGATAGGAGATTATCATCTTCCGGTGACAGGCTCGCTGACTTGGTTGATACATATCAAATGTCCAAATTGCGTGGATCTATGCTCATGATGTCAAACACTGGATTGTCTTGTCCCGACTCGATTATTTACAGACCGCCGTCATATAGCTGTAATTTTGCTTAGTGCGGCGTTAAACAACAAACAATCAATCAATCTTCCGGTGATATTAAACTAATCACTATCATGGCCTGTAAAATCCTGTCAAGCCATTACAGTCTCTCATAATCTGTAGGCGATTTAGCATTAATAAGCGTAGGTGTCATTCTATTTGAACCTATGAACTGTGCCATACATTATTTTTTATGCATTGGGCATATGAAATTTTTTTCAGTAAAAAAACGTTTTTTCTCATACCCGTCCTTGTGTTAGACTGGAACATATCAGACTGTAAGGAAGCAATGTTCTTGTTCAGTTCTGTTGTTTGTTTTGTAATTACATACCGACAAAACCCTTTCTATATTCATATGAAATCTCTTTCGATTGTACGATTCCGACCATATCATTAGCACGTGTTTGTGAATCACGGTAAAACGGTGGTAAAACGGTGGTAATAAAATGGTGAGCGTACCCTGTCCCACCTGTGGCACCCATCACAAACACATGCAAAGTCAAGTCAATTGTTCAGCTGACAAAAACACGGCAATATATGTCACGGATGAGATCCGGGGTAGAATATGTCTTCAGCTACCCATGCTTGCCGTAAAAGGGCGACTATGTTTGTCGTATGAGGCGACTGACGGGATCCGGTGTTCAGTCTCGCTGACTTGGTTGATGCAAGTCATCGTATCCCGATGGCGTGGATCGATGCTCGTGATGTAAATCACTGGATTGTCTGGTCAAGACTCTATTATTTACAGACTGCCGTCATATAGCTGGAATATTGCTGAGTGCGGCGTTAAACAACAAACCAACCAACCAACCAACCAACCACTGATGAGTAAAATGAGAAACGACCTCCACATGTCTACTAGAAAAGGCTTGTAACCTTAATCGAACAGCTTTTGAGCAAAAGACGCATGACGGTCTTTGGAATCTTCGTGGAAAGAGCATGCTCAGTTGTATCTCAAAAGTTGTGAAATGTTGACACATGAGACAGACTTTTGATAATGCCATTTTTGACGATCAAGAATTACGCATTCTGATTGGTCCCCCTGTCGTATGAGACGTGAATCAGTTGATATTTATATATTCGTATATTTTAGTCATACGCGATAATTCCATCATTTTGTTTCAGAGACGTTCTGAGGTGCTTGGTACATATGCCTTATGTGGACTCAACCATATAGGAGCTATTGGTGTTGCCATAGGAACGTTGATCGCGCTTTGCCCCAAACGGAGGACAACTATCACCAAATATGTACTGAGGGCGAACGTGACTGGGCAGATGGCCTGTTTTATGACAGCATGCATCGCAGGTGAGCAAGTGGAAGTGGGTGAAATATGTGAGTGAGGTTTCTGTCTATTTTCGGTACCATTAATGGATTGAATAAACGAATGATTTGGCTTCAAACTTCTACACAATTGTTTTCAATGTCTGAAAAGCAAACGATATCTACATCCTTCCGCTTACGGCTATTTGAGTCGTAATGAGTGAGTGAATGAGTTAAAGAGTGAGTGAGTGAGTTTACTGTTTAAACAGTATATCAGTTGTATCACCACGTCTTAGAAAAGCCCGAACAAATGTAAGACGTTTATATTTGGTGCAACCCACAAGCCCACGAATCTGGGATTCGAACCCACTACCAAAGTGTCCTGGCACGTTGGGGGATGGGGGGATGGGGTGAGGGGTGTGGGTGTGTGTGTGGGTGTGTGTGTGTGTGTGTGTGTGTCACACATCGAATGGCGACGCCCTGGGAAGCTGCTCGAAGTGTCTTGATGTTATAGAACAGCTCTTACAGTGAGTCTGCGAGTGCGTGCAGCAGTGGCACCATAAACGGGCTTGACACATTGAATCCCTGTATCTAACTTGAACTTGAGACTTCGGCGGGAGGAGCGAAAGTTTTAACCTCAACGTCAGTATAATCAATTGAAATTTGTTTTCAATTTGTATTTAAAGAGATTTGGCCATGTTTATGTTGTTTGTTTGCTTGTTGTTTAACGCCGCATTCAGCAATATTCCAGCTACATGACGGCGGTCTGTAAATAATCGAGTCTGGACCAGACAATCCATGTTTATATAGTGGTTAAAGCGTTCGATTCCCCACAGTGGTACATTGCCTGAAGCCCATTTATAGTTTTCCCCCGCTGTCATATGTTTGGAAAATTGCTAAATGCGACTTAAAACCATATTCACTCATTCATGTTTATTCCGGGTTAGAATAGATCTACAGCAACACATGCTTGCCATAACAGGTGACTATGCTTGTCGTAAGAGGCGACTCACGGTATTTGGTTGATGCATATCATCGTATCCCAACCCATGCTTGCCGTAAAAGGCGACTATGCTTGTCGTAAAAGGCGACTATACTTGTCGTAAAAGGCGACTAACGGGATCGCGTGGTCAGGCTCGCTGACTTGGTTGATGCATGTCATCGATCCCAATTGCGTGGATCGATGCTCGTGATATTAGTCACTGGATTGTCTGATCCAGACTCGATTATTTACAGACCGCCGTCATATAGCTGGAATATTGCTGAGTGCGGCGTTAAACAACTAACCAACAAACATAAACTCATATTCATGTTTAATGATATTTTTCTGTTTCTGTCAGGTTTGCTGTACGATGAGTCTTTACAGTCAGCGTGAGCAACTTTAACAGTGCAGTTATGTTGTAGCTGGTACAATAGGAACCAGTTCAAGATCACATTTTATCAAAAGCTTCAGATTTGGAACACCACCTTTGTTTGCAATAAATAGATTATAGCTGTGTGTGTTTCCGTATCATGAATACGGCATTAATGAGGAATACAAATTGCATCATCAGAGTCTGATGTTTTATTCTTAAAATAATCAATGTTTAAGTATTTTCGCCCAATTAAGGACTTTTAGAAACCGTATATGAGAACAGTATACAGCCCCTAAGCCTGGCTGCCCTGCAAGAAGACTTTATAGTTTGGTTGGTTGTTTAACGCCGCACTCATCAATATTCCAGCTGACTAATCGAGTCAGAAGCAGACAATCCAGTGATTGACAACATGAGCATCGACCCACGCAATTGGGATACGATGGCATGCATCAACCAAGTCAGCGAACCAGACTACATGATCCCGTCAGTCGCCTACTACGACAAGCATATATAGTCGCCTTTTACAGCAAACATGGGCTGCTGAAGACCTACTCTGCGATTTACCCACCTGAACCAGAAATGAAAGACAGCAGTGAGACCACCTCGTCTTGCTTACTTACTTATATTGGAGATTTTACGTGCGCATTCCGACTGCAGCGTATTTCGCACACGGGCCCGGCCAAGCCATTTAATGAGTTTCCGAAAAGGGGAAAAAGTTGTTTGGCAATCCAGTAGGGGTGTTTTAGTGGTTGCTTATATAGAATTTTGGAAATTTTGAAATTTTGAAAAAATGCCAAGAGGGTTTGGGGGACGAACTAAGGGACCTGAGTATGGAAGTTTGTTAGTTTGATTATGTGGTCTGGTTTTGGTAGTTTATTGGGGTTTTAAATGCGATTTATTAGTCCTGTTTTGATTAAGTATACGCCTAAGGCTTTGAATTTTTCTATTTTATTTTGTGGGTTTAGGATTGCTTCTAGAGTAAGAAGGATGTAGAATTTTTGGTTTGGTTAGGTTTTTTTTAGAACCTTTTTGATTTGGCTATTTGAGTTTTGATATAGGTTATGCAATTTTTTGGTGATTTTTTGTTTGTTAACACTTTTAATTTCTGATTTGGAGTTGGGTAGGTTTAAGCTTATTTCTGGGATTTTAAGGGATAGTTTAGCTGCTTTTTCGGCGTTTTCTTTGCCGTATATTCCTACGTGGGCGGGGATCCAAATGAATACTATTTGTTTGCCTGCCTTAGTTAAATCGTTTGAGCTTTTTAGTATCTGATTTACTAGTTCAGGGCGGTTTTTGGTGTTTTTATTTTGGAGGGCTTGTAGTCCACTGAGCGAGTTGTTTTTTTTGTTGTTTTTTAGATTGTTGATTATGAAGGGCTGAGGCCATGCCCATTAGTTCGGCCGTGAATATTGATTGATTGTTTGGGAGTCGGTAGGATTGTGTGGCTTTAGTTGGTTGTGTGATGTGGACTCCGAAACCTGTGTGTTTGGAGATCGGATCTGAGGATCCGTCTGTGTAAATGTGACACCAGTTTGGCCAATTTTCATGTATGTATGCTAGTGTGGTGGTTTTGGCTATGTTTGGGTCGGTTTGTTTATTGATTGTGCTAGCTAGTGTTATGTTTATTTTGGGTGTTTTAAGTTTTGGGGTGAAGATATTTGATTTTTTACAGTTTTGTTTAAGATTGTTTTTTGGTGTTCATTTAAGTAATTGGTTATTCTTTGGGATATTGGAGTAAGTAGATGGTGTTTTCGAGCTAGGGCTTGGTTTTTTGGGCTTATATCTTTGTTTATTAGGCTTTGAATTAGGGGGTTGGATTGAGACGCGGCCCAGCAATTTAGGGTTAATTGTTCCCTACGTAGACTTAGTGGCATTTCTCCTGTTAAGGCCTGGAGTGAAGTGTAGGAGGTGCCATGTTGAGTGCGTGTTATTAGTTTTAGAGCCTGATATTGGATTGAGTCTAGTTTTTTGCTTAGGGATTGGTTTAGGGTGTCGTATATGGCACATCCGTAGTCTATTTTAGATCTAATTAGTGATATATAGAGTGAGAGGAGGGTGTCTTTGGAGGCCCCCCAGTTTGAGCCAGTAAGGCATCTCGTCTGTTTTATATTTATATTTATAAATATTCAGAAAACTCCTAGAAGCCATCTACATCAAAAGGATCAAGCCAGCAATGAATAGAGATCAAGGCTACTACATCCCGCCTGCTTACCATCACCTAATTGCTAAATCCCTATGTCCATCCAATTAATCCACTGGCTTCCATCATCTCTATCAGCTTCCGTGGTTGTTTACCCTATCCCATTAGTCATTCACTGGCTTCCAATTATCTTAATCCGCTCTCTGTGTCCATCAATCACTGTATAAACATTGATGTTAATAAGTATATACACCTTTGTTGTTCAGCACTATCCATCACTTGCTTTATAAAGGTGTTAGGATCTACACCGAAACGACGCACTAATTGTAATAAAGAAGTTGTTCATCCATAGAACTTGTCTTTCTTCAACATTGACTTTGCATGTGTTTGTGACGGGTGCCACCTGTAGGCTCACCTATCCCCTAACACCTGGTTTCATGACAATATGAGAGTGAGTGAGTTGGATTTAACGCCGCTTTTAACAGAATTCCAGTTATATCACGGAGTGTCAGCTCAATGTGGGAGGAAAGCCCGAAGTGATGCAGGTCTCAGACGTTTACCACATCGGTGAAACCCACGAGCACGGGTATGGTGCTGACAAACCTAGAAATATAATCGGGGCGAACCGGGATTCGAATCTACAATCATAGGTTTCAGGCGTGCCCAAGGGACGCCACTCCGCACAGCGAATCGCGTCGCCTTAGACGACTGGGCCACCCGTGCCCCCAATATGAGAGCGAGTCATGAAGACATGCTTAATATATAGCCGGAATCGTACAATCGACTTATGAGTCGTTTTTTATGAATATGGAAAGGGTTATGTCGCTGTTATTCGGCATCCAAAGGATATCATCTCATGTATATCTTCATAATAGCCAACTGTGATAAGTCATATCAAGACAATCACCTGAAAGAACGTCGAAAAGGATTAACTGTAAGTCAATGAAACAAAATTACATGTCTTCCTTAGGAGATCTGATCTGCAAATCAAGGTCAAGTGAAATTCCTTCGTGAAGTATGTTCAATTTTTGTAATGTGTCATGGCAAGTATCATGGTCATCCTTGGGGTATTACCGCCTAACTCGAGAAGTAAATACTGTAGGTCTATAAACCTTTGTACACATCTCCGTTAGGGCGGGCTGAGACCGGCAAAGATAGTGAGTATAATTATGCAAAAGGTCGAGGTCTCGGTGAAGGTCATTCGCCAAACAATGTTTGCCATTTTTATCAAAATTACTATTTGTGCAGATTTGCACACGCTTTATCATGCTTTTGCACGGAGTTATGTTATTTGAATTCATGTGTATGACGGGCCACAGTGACCTACTTTCCATAAGTAACGTATGCTATTTGCGTTGTTACTTTGAGTGAGTGAGTGAGTGAGTTGGGTTTAACGCCGGTTTTAACATTATTCCAGTTATATAACGGTGTGTCAGCTTAATGTGGGAGGAAAGCCCGAAGCAGGTCTAAGACGTTTACCACTTCGGTGAAACCCACGAGCACGGGTATGGTGCTGACAAACCTAGAAATATAATCGGGGCGAACCGGGATTCGAATCTACAATCATAGGTTTCAGGCGTGCCCAAGGGACGCCACTCCGCACAGCGAATCGCGTCGCCTTAGACGACTGGGCCACCCGTGCCCCCAATATGAGAGCGAGTCATGAAGACATGCTTAATATATAGCCGGAATCGTACAATCGACTTATGAGTCGTTTTTTATGAATATGGAAAGGGTTATGTCGCTGTTATTCGGCATCCAAAGGATATCATCTCATGTATATCTTCATAATAGCCAACTGTGATAAGTCATATCAAGACAATCACCTGAAAGAACGTCGAAAAGGATTAACTGTAAGTCAATGAAACAAAATTACATGTCTTCCTTAGGAGATCTGATCTGCAAATCAAGGTCAAGTGAAATTCCTTCGTGAAGTATGTTCAATTTTTGTAATGTGTCATGGCAAGTATCATGGTCATCCTTGGGGTATTACCGCCTAACTCGAGAAGTAAATACTGTAGGTCTATAAACCTTTGTACACATCTCCGTTAGGGCGGGCTGAGACCGGCAAAGATAGTGAGTATAATTATGCAAAAGGTCGAGGTCTCGGTGAAGGTCATTCGCCAAACAATGTTTGCCATTTTTATCAAAATTACTATTTGTGCAGATTTGCACACGCTTTATCATGCTTTTGCACGGAGTTATGTTATTTGAATTCATGTGTATGACGGGCCACAGTGACCTACTTTCCATAAGTAACGTATGCTATTTGCGTTGTTACTTTGAGTGAGTGAGTGAGTGAGTTGGGTTTAACGCCGGTTTTAACATTATTCCAGTTATATAACGGTGTGTCAGCTTAATGTGGGAGGAAAGCCCGAAGCAGGTCTAAGACGTTTACCACTTCGGTGAAATCCACGAGCACGGGTATGGTGCTGACAAACCTAGAAACATAATTGGGGATTCGAACCCACAATCATAGGTTTCTGGCATATTCAAGGGACGCAACTCTGCACAGCGAATCGCGGCGCCTTATACGACTGGGCCACCCGTGCCCCCCGTTGTTACTTTGAATTCCATCCAGGGACATCATGTTCGCAAGCTCGGAGGTTCACACAGTTTAACCATCGCTTTTCAATCGTTCACACTTCAATGAACCCATCCAAACTGACGTTCAATTCTTAAATACATTTGTGTTCACAGTTACTCAAGAAGTGTTCATTTGGATAACATTTGGGTCATATCATGTTTTGGGCACTGAAATGGTAAGATTTACACCGGTCATCATGGAAGGTCAAGATCACTGGAATTGTCATTCTTAATGTAGGTCTGGGTTTTTGGGGTGTACTGAACCAAACCCTGTTTGTAACGAGACATAATAAGATATGTGATAGTCTGAAATTAAGGGACAATGCCATTTAACCGCATATGCAAATAAATATTTCTGATTTAGATAGTTAGAACCTTTTTCAATAATTTATCTCGCACTGATCATATGTTTTCCCTAGCCGGTATACTTAGTAATGCCTTTAAACCATGAGTATGTTAGGGTCATATGAGCACAGGACTGTTGTACTGCGTTTGGCAGTTTATATGGTTCATGATATAAATTTATTGTGCAAATGTTTTGGGGGATACAGGAAAAGTTGGGGATAAGGCTGCTCCTTGTTTGTATTACAATTATATATGTATTTACATTTTTTATTTTTTTTGTTTAACGCCGCACTCAGCAATAGTCCAGCTATATGACGGCGGTCTGTAAATAATCGAGTCTGGACCATACAATCCAGTGATTGACATCATGAGCATCGATCTACGCAATTGGGATCGATGACATGCATCAACCAAACCAGCGAGCCTGACCACCCGATCCCGTTAGTCGTCTCTCACAATATTTGTATTTACAATATACTAGCTATGTGTACAGTGATTTTACATTTGTAACACCACATATGCTTTCAGTTTGAAATGTTCGTGGTAGATCATGCACTTTATAGGGCATATGCTTTCCCGAACCGGAAGTAATGTTATCCAACCGAAAGTGTTTATACCTTTGTTTAAAATTTTTTTGGGGGGCTACAATGAGTATTGTTACACAGATACATGAAGGGACGCTATTAATACCGTAAGTGCATATTTGTTTCGGGTTTTGGGGTTGTTGTTTTTGCCGTACTCGGCAATTCTCCAGCTATATGGCGTCGGCGTGTAAATAATCGAGTCTGGACCAGACAATCCAGTGTTCTATATTGCGAAAACCTTTATTATTAATAAAAACTATATTGCAACTTCCTGTTTTAAAGATATACTGCATTGGTTGTATTCATCATATTAAACCGGAGATGTTATCAGCCTTCGTTTTGAAAGACATGTACTCGCGAGGACTGCTGTCACCTGATTTGCAAAGACAAAATGGTTGCTGATGGTAATTTGGTTGTATTCGGAGTGAGTGAGTTAAAATTTAACGTCGCATCGGCATTATTTCAGCCATATAGCGACGAGACTAAGTTAATATATTTACAATTTAGTTTTTTTATGCAAAGTTTTATTTAAAAACAACTTATGAAACAATTTATGAAACATATTTGAGCATAACAATATTATATATACAGTTTTAAAACACGGGCTATAGGCCACAAGTAACCAAAGCTAGGCCACCTCGCTGGGGATCATGGGGACTTACAGTACCTCTGCTTCCTGCATGATACCCCAGCAGGATTTACGTCATCACTTTAGCATTCGGGTGAAGGAAGGGGTAGGTCAGTCTGTGTTCAATCACCTTTCTAGTTGCTTCTGAGTAAGTGACCTTGATATTGTTATAAATATTCTGCAATAACACGTTTCACTTGATAGTTGATTAGTATGTGCGAAGTGAATATGCACACTTAATTACTATACATCTATTATGATGCTCATGATGTCAATCAATGGATTGTCTGGTTCAGACTCGATTATTTACAGACCGCCGTCATATGGCTGGAATATTGCTGAGTGCGGCGTAAAAGAGCAAACCAACCAACCAACCAACCAACCAACATGTATTATGTTCTACGATGTACCAGAACAGCAATGGTTGCTTGGAAACTTGATAGAAGCTTTATAGAGCTTTGAAGTACGGCAAAACATATCACTTATTCCTTTCCGTTCTGCATCCATGTGAATGATTGAACAAGGTATACATGCATAAAATTATATAATTTTTTAATTTGAAGTTTACACGATATACGGCTTTTCCATTGGACGAGAGGTCATAAGTGTATGAACGACACAATCTGACGTTCATACGTTTTTCACGAGACCGTGGTCTTGAAATGACGTAAAACACTGACGGACTACTTCCACAATCCTACGGAAATCCCTGGGAATTCCCCATCACGAAAACATACATAAGCGTTCTTTCTGATCATTTAGAACCTTTATTCTTGGTCGCAGCGTTTCAGTATACATTGAGAAATGTCAGAGAGCCTGACTGCATTATTGTTCACGAATATCCTCGCTACGGCCTATCCTTATGAACAAACGAAGAAATGTGAAAGTCAATTCTTAAATAATGAAACGTGTATACAGGTACATCGGTTTAGGACATTTTGATATCATGCATACATGCATCTATAATTAAACGTGTACATATGTACATCTGATTAGGACAACATATTCAAATGTATACATCAATCTATAATGCAACGTTAATACAGGCACATCTGATTAGGACACCAATTTGAAATGTATATATGCACACGCACGCATGGACACACCCCATCACACACACACACCTCCTTACACACGCACGCACACACATACATGAACAAACACATATATACACAAACATTCACAGATACACACACACATACACATAACATAGACACACACACATATATACACAAACATTCACAGGTACACACACACACATATACACAAACATTCACAGATACACACATACACATAACATAGACACACACACACATATATACACAAACATTCACAGATACATACACACACACACACACACACACATATATACACAAACATTCACAGATACACACACATACACATAACATAGACACACACACACACATATACATAACATAGACACACATATATACATAACATAGACACACACATATATACATAACATAGACACACACACACACACACACATATATACATAACATAGACACACATATATACATAACATAGACACACACATATATACATAACATAGACACACACACATACACATAACATAGACACACACACACATACACATAACATAGACACACACACACATACACATAACATAGACACACACACATATATACATATGCACACACGATCAAACCGTAACGCGGGATGTGTTATTGATTTTCCTGATGAACACTGTAAATATCTCCACATATATATCTAGTCAAGCATAATAGCTGACTATGAGAGCCGTGCGTGTAATAGCCTACTGTTCTAGTCATGATGTAGTCGGAATCGTTAAATGGAAATGCTTTTTTGCCTTAATTTACAAAGTAGCGTACCGTACTCCGTAAGTATTGCCATTATTGGTTTAGGCTTTACCTTGAACAAAATTCAAGCAGCTTCAGCCTTTAGTGTCTACATTTCACAACTTTTGTGGTAAACCAAGGCAAGTTCTTTGTACGAAGATTTCAAAGAGCGTCATACGACTCTCGTATATATATACAGAAACACTTTGATATATATATATATACAGAAACAGTTTGAAACTATATATTTGTTTATCCTTACCCCGCCCGGGCTTCGAAATATTTTCAGTGCTTATCAAGTATGCTTGAAATAACTTGAAATCGACTTGAGTAGGTCCTCTGAGACTTTAGATCAGCTTCAACCGCGTGCAAACCAATATTAGTTGATTAGATCTACGATGAAGCAAATGAACACTTAACGCTCAACATATCCTCCAAACCAGGCTGGTTAGTATTTATGTAGAAACTAAACATACTGTGTTGGTTATAAATGCAGCAAATCGTTACAAGAAATGATCCTTGGTGGAAACCGTATAACCCAAATAAAACATCAAGACGATACACGACCAGGTCAATATAGTATCTTAGTTACGACTAAGTCAAATAATGTCACAACAAATTAATCATTTATTTATTATTTATCATTCTTATTTACTTGAAAGTGAACATAAACATAATCTACAAATTACACGCGATAACTTAAAAAATATTTATTTTAAGTCCAATGTAACAAATTCTTCACTTGCTTTTTCATTAATTGCTAATATTACAAAGTATTGAATCTGTGATTGTGTTATTCTTTTTATGCGTTAAGAGCCCAATTCGTGTTATGCCGCCCATTTTTACTCAAGGCACGTCTTTTAGTTGATCTATAAATAAATATATAAATATGAACAGTTTGTTTTATCACAGAATGTGAACATATTGCTATTCTGAAAACCAAAATAAAAACTGTTGAGGCCTTGTTTGTCATGTCATAATAAGGGGTGGATCACATCGTAGTACACTAGTTAACGCGCAATCATACGGGAGTGTACCGTGAACCTCGTTATTTTGTCCGGACTCAATGAAGAATACCATGGACTTTTCCGCTGCGTTTATATGTCTGCTTTTACCACAGATGATTCTGTCAAATTCCATGTGTCAAAACGTTACACTGAAGTTACCAGAGCTTGACTGTGAGACTTCAGAAGAAAGCCTTATACAGGATTATGCCTCTGATGACCTTGCGGACTGTGCATCTGCCTGTGTGCGCTCGTGGAACTGTGCCTGCTTCTTCTTCCACCTCATCACCAGGGAGTGTCGGCTACATTATACAGGATTGTCTGTAGTTTGCGAAAAGGCTGATGATCATACCGACTGGATCGGGTATGATGTGCCAGGTAAGGGATCGACCATTTGATGGGGCCGGGGGTGGATTTTGATTGTATCGAAAAAATAAATTGTTGTCCTCGAAAAAACATTTCTGCTTCAAAACTTGCTTGCTGCATAAACTTTTGATGGATTTTGATGAGAATGTTTGTGGCTTTCGTTATGTCCATGACAGTTTCCTCAACCTTAATGTAATATTCGACATCAAACCACTTCGTAGTGCTCCATGTTGTTTTTGTGTGGAAAATAACTGCAACTGAAAATGTGAACGCATTAAAATCAACAAGAATACCCCGAATTATGTGCGTTTATTTTCATTCTTCGTGTCTTCGGCTCCCTTGCTTGAAAATGCATGAGAAAGGGGTACAAACCCCCTTAAAGCCCTTGCACAGCTTTTACCCATCGTTTCAATTACAACCGGAGCCTACAAAATGAACTGATGCACTATAAAATATCTCACAAAAAGTACTGAAAATAGAGAGGATTTTATAAACTGATCACCCTTGCTATACATTTAGTAAACATATATTGAATATTGACTCGACTTTTTAAAAAAGCTTATTCGTGCACGTTTTAACCGCGCATGGTGTATTTATAAATTACAGGATAGGAATGTATTTGATTAGGGAAACAGTGTTAGACGAATTGATGCGTGGGACATGTATTACATGTATTTCAGATCCCACAGGATGTAGAGGTACAGATGGGTATGTCATGTTCAGGGCTGCCCATCTGTGCTACAAGGTCCATACGGAGGGGCAGAACTGGAATGACGCTCGTGACGTTTGTCACAGCGAGAACGCTGAACTCGTTACCCTGGAAACAGCCGCAAAGAAGAACGCCATTGAAAGTTTGTTTCTAGCTGGTAAGTACATTCAGTTCCAAAGTGCTCACTTTCAGTTTAATACATAAAAATGGTGAGATACATTGAGGATTCTGGTTGAACGGAGTACAATACACGGCAATTAATATCTCAATATAATTGACCATTACAGTATCGTCCTCCTCCTTCTGTAAAGCCTCACAATCTCTGTCCATGCCACCTGCTTTCATAGTACAGGACCTCCAGAGCCGACAATGTGGTTGTTGACTGACCTTCATCACCTGGGCCTAGAATTCCGAAACGATCTTAGCTACGATTAATCTTAACAACTTACGTTCAAAGATAAGATATCTTAAGTTTAAGATAAGGTAGATTTTCGAAGGTACCTGTCTCAGATCGTACAGAGCTACGATACCTATCGTAGCTCTGACAGAGATCTCATTTTTGTTAGAGATTGAAAAAGCGGGGTGTTTCCCAGTGACGTCTCGGGGATTTGCCAGCCGCTAGCAATAACAACATGGAGTAGTGACACGGAATTCATGATCATATTGTCAGGTCACACTGTTTAACACGCACCTATTTGAGTGACATTCCGTACAATCCTTTATATGTCCTACATGTAGATGTTTCGTTCTTATGATAAAAGATGACAACCCGAACACAAATAGCGTTCAAACCCAATGAATGTTATAATCAATAAGTGTAGTGTTACCACAATATAGTTATTAGAATTGAAATAACGTGCAAAAAAGATACTTCACTATATTTCCCTTAAAATGATCCTCTCGCGAGCGCGCAGAACATTATTTAACCACATCGCGTACAAAATCAAGGACGAAAGTAACGGACGTTATTCTAAATGGCAATGCCGAGACCTATGATCGAACAGTAGGCGTTCAGCATTAAAGATGCGTGTTCAAGTCTGTTGTTATGTGATGTATACTGGGTCAGTTTCACAATACTGGTTGCTCTTTTGTGTTTATGTCAAACGTCAAAAGTTTACATAGAAAAACCAACATTATACCTGGAAACACTCAAAATAAATATTGTTCAAGAAGCAGCGCATACACGAGCGAGTTGTAATGACAATGTAAGCTTAATTTTGTTTGTTATTTATATATCTAATATCTTTCACGAATAAACCAAGGACTCAAATACGATATCAAGCTAGATGTATTTTTTTATCTATCTACATCCATAATTATTTTTAAAATTTGAAAGTAACACTAATTTTCGTTCACAAGGGGAAATAACTTAGGAATTGTCAAGTTGTGTTGTCTCATGAAACACGCCACAAGTTAACGTGAACATACGTAACATTTTGTCCTTTTCTATCCTTTTAAACTAAGTAGAGCTGATAAACTGGTTAGTCTGATTTGAATTTAATCTGGCTGAGGAGCGAAATATCTACATTGTAAATGTGTGAAATCTATTACCGAACGTAGTTCGATGACGTTAGGCTTGTCTTACAGTATTGCTGAGGGTCATTTGAAAGTATTTGTCCGGTGACCCTATTCTTTACAATAATTTTATTGTCAAGTATCTAATTTAAAAAAAATAATAATACGGGGAAATGTACACAATTTTTTAATAATCGGTTCATTGAATGCAAATGTCTATTTTAAATAGAACAGTAAATTTCATTCAATGAATGTTTTTTGCAAAAATATACTGGAAAAGGAATTTACAGTAAACTACGGTTATAACAAACTCAAAGGGACTACTATTTTTAGTTCGTTATAACCGTAGTTCGTTATAAGCATATATACAGCATAACTACAGCAAATAATCGGGACTAAAGAGTAAGTTCGTTATATCCGTCAGTTCGTTATAAGCGTGTTCGTTATAACCGAAGGTTAATGTATGTTACTTTTTGACGTCATTTTAAACCCAAACGACCAAGGGAACCCAGTTGTTACTTGATTTTTCAAATCGCCAATCTCGAAAATAGGATACAAAAATATGTGCTTAACGTTTGCTGTCAAATGATCAATAAATTGCTCTATTTAATGTAATACATCTACGCCGTTAATCACATGTTTTTAAAGAATGCAATTATGCAACAGACAATATTTAGTCACTTGTTATCAAATATTTTTCTTTCAATAATATAGATAACCTAGGTGTTGTTTTTAAAACGAAACAAAATACAATTACTTTTTATAGACTCTTTATGCAAATATACTATATACACATATTTGATCGCATGTATTTCCTTGTTAAATAAATAAATACCACACTACAGAAAATATAACAGATGAACCGGCTTTATGAAAACTGTAACATTGAGCAAAGTCTCGCGGGACGAATAGAAAGGGAAACCACTCTCAGTTAGAGTATGAACTAAGATTAACTGCCACAGACTAATCAATAAGGTCACGGTCAGAACTATATCCTGCCGACACCTTCCCTTTTTATCCTTCCCAAAATTATCGAAAAGGTATGTTGTTTCACACTTTTTCAGCATGGACTCGGATAGAAATATATTGTAAGCTATCGACTCAATAGTTATGTGGATCGCTGTTGCGATTAAGAACATATCTGACGTGAAATCTTTTATGCGTTCTTCGTGTTTTCGAAGTGTCTGTTTGAATCACACAATTTTACAAAATGAAATGTCAATGTTTGAACGTAAGGCAGATTATTTGTTTGAAAATATCTATGGCAAAGTATGCCGCCATCTTGGAAGAAGATAAAATGACCTTACGACAGGTGTGGGGCTGTCTTAGATTTATGACAATCTTACAATATCTTAAGGCTACGATAGTTTCGAAAATGGGCAACGATTGCCTACGATTTTCTTACCATAACTTTACGATAATTTTAGGGCTACGATCGTTTCGAAAATCTAGGCCATGGTCTTCTATTCTCATACTACTTCTGACAGGTGATAAATCGTCCTGGATAGAAGTCAGCATGGTCTAGCTAGCCGGACGTTCAGTCAAGAATGATGAATATCCCCCCCCCCCCCCCCCCGCTCCCATCCATCGTGACTATAGAGGAAGTAATAAGAAGTAACGAGTAGTAATGATTAAGTCTTTTAAGCAAATGAACCCTCAACCCTACCCCAATTCTTGCATCACAAACCGACAAGTATAACTCAGCCGTCAGATTATGTACATGTAGTTCTTCCATCAAGTCGATGTACGGTTCTTAACAATGAGGTGCCGTTTAACTATGTAATATCGTCAGATAGCAAGCAGCATTTTGATGACATCGATAGATGAATTATTAATGTCACAAAATAATTTGTTCAATGTGTGCGCGAGAATATATATATATATATATATATTAATATCATAATCTAGAGTTTGCCATATCAATAAATCGAATTCATTATATCCGTGGGTTGATAGAAACTGCCTGGCAATAGAAAGTACATGTATACACTAGAAAATTGGGTTTGACCAAACAATTAGAAACGTTATGAAAACGTTGCAAGGCCTCAAAAAGTCACCGAAACAGTGCAAACTTAAGGTCCAAAACACAATTATGATACGAGGATCAACACATTACCATCGCATCATCATTTCTTGTTTGTTTCATTTTTAGCCACCATGAAACATAAGTTTTCCCCTACCCTCTGTTGGCTCGGGGTACACGTTAACGCAGAGTTTACATCAACCCGTATTCCCCTCGTTGATAAGCCTACAACTTATATGATCTCTGTTAGAGCTAAACTATATTCATTTCATCAAATTCAAATGCCTCATCATGTGTCTATTCCTGTCAAATGCATTATCATAGCCACCCCATCCATTCTGTAGACGTCCTTTTAAAACGTACGGGCGGTGTCGTAGCCTGGTGGTTAAAGTGATCGCACATCACGCCGAAGTCCTGGGTTCGATTCCCCACGTTTGTACAATGTGTGAATCCCATTTCTGGTGTCACCCGCCGTGATATTGCTAGAATAGTGCTAAAATTGGCGGGAAAGCTTGCTCACTAGCTCCCTCCTTCACTCACTCCCTTACTCACAAGGACAGATCGTTCATCTTCCCGAGGCAAGTGACTTCACTGACTCTAAAAGTCCAGTTTCAACCCTTGCCGGAATTTCTGGGCACGATCGTAGCGCCACCAGTGGCTATTACGAGTTATGTCCCTTCTATGTCCCTCCTATTCACCAATCAGATTCCACCTCTAATATCACATGCATTTATTTCAAACAAAATGGCTGCGCCCAGTCAAGACGATCTGATCGATGATCAAGGTACATATTGTGATAAAACGGGTGTTATTTCGCGAGGTACATCAAATCACGTCAGCATCTTGATGAAAAATATCAGTTGACGCCAAGTTGACGGTACATATCCTTTGCAAATCCCGCAGTCGACCGAAATCTGTACGTCCATGTTGTTTACGAACCGTATGTCGATTTCAAAAGGGAATTTTGATTGGACTATGCATAGACACGTTGGTCCAGCCAAAATATAACTCCATAATTGCTAAACAGGTAACGATCATTAAGATAGCTTACAGACACTTTTAGTATTTTATCTTTCCAAATTAACGATAAGGTATTTTAGATGTTTAGATGTTTTAGATGTGAGTCTTTTTCTTCTAAAGCACGCTATCTTGTCCATATCATAAGGTACTACAATTATCTCAGCTAATTTTGTCAAGACAAATTGTAAATTTAATTCTGATTGTAGGTTTACTGTGTTCTTGACATAGGTTTTACTCGTGGCATTGACGTACAGTATTCTCAGCACTAATACTTCTCAATGCAAAAGGGTTTTAGGATCCTGTTCCACAAAGCGATCTTAGCGCTACGCCTATCGTAAGTCCATGTTAAAGTATTGGACTTGCCATCATCTTATCGCAAAGATGTCTTTGTAGAACGGACTCCTGGACTGTAACGCTTAGACAGGCTGTAACAGTATTCGCTGTGCCGTCAAACAACATTCACTCGCTTAATATTGACGGGAGGTTATAGTTGTGGTTAATTCTTCATTTTAAAATATTTTAAAAATAAATTAAACCGTATGTTTGCCAGGCGATGAGGATAATGGCTGGTTCCTTGGCGGTGTGGACTACAATGGTATTGGCTCGTGGAGATGGGTCAGTGACAATTCATCTATTTCCTGGGCACCGGACATTGAAGATGACAATGCCCATTGTTTGGAAATCATATTCAGGGATGAACCGGGTGGCCTGGTGTACGAGGAGGAAGACTGTGATTCGGAACAATCATTCATCTGCGAAAAAGCCTTGTAATGTATAACTGAGAAACGTTGGGGGGTGTTTTGGTTTTGTTATGTGTAACGCCACACACAGCAATATTTCCAGCTATATGATGGAAATAAACGAGTCTAGACCAGACGATCCAGTGATTGACATCATGATGATAGTTCTACGCAATATGATGACATGCATCAACCAAGTCAGCGAGCCTAACCACCCGATCCTGTTAGTCGCCTCTTACGACAAACATTGGTTTCTGAAGACCAACTCTTACCCGGATCTTCACGGAGTCCGATTCCAGTATAAAATTGTGACATGGTCTACAAAAAATTCATGTTAGGTTTCGTACCATTATTATTGAATGATTAATTATTCTTATTAAAATATGCTTGATATGCGCTGTGTTGTTTTTTATTGCCAATCTAAAGGAAGATTGAAAGCCATTTTCATAAAATGGTGTAATTATTAAGCAGTCACATGTTAATCGGAATGGCTTAAGGTTTTTTGAAAAATGTGAACCTTGGTACCTATGTCCTTCGTTTTTTAATCGTAGGGTATCCTATCGCGTGTATCTCTTTCATTGGAATAGGGACATTCTTTGACACATTGATCAACCATGTCAAAAGTATAGTTCATCCTTAAAGTCACAACCTGAACAAAACTGTGTCTATCGCCGAGATGGATTTAGTGTATGTAAATTAAATTTGAAACATGTCATTCTTTGGTCGAGGCCGAGATCGGGAAAAGTCGTAAGTGACCGAGGCGTGACGTGACGGTCACTGTGAAGACTATTTCTGCAGTTTGCTTTAAATATTTTGCATTATAATCATCTAATACTTATGTTTGACAACTGATGACAGTCTCGGTCACGATAACCTACTTTCATATGCTATATTTCTTCCGTCGGGATAACCTACTTTCATATGCTATATTTGCTCGGTCATGATAACCTACTTCAATATGCTATATTTCTTCCGTCACGATAACCTACTTTCATATGCTATATTTCCTCGGTCATGATAACCTACTTTAATATGCTATATTTTCTGGGTCACGATAACCTACTTTCATATGCTATATTTCCTCGGTCACGATAACCTACTTTCATATGCTATATTTCCTCGGTCACGATAACCTACTTTCATATGCTATGTTTCCTCGGTCACGATAACCTACTTTCATATGCTATATTTGCTCAGTCACGATAACCTACTTTCATATGCTATATTTGCTCGGTCACGATAACCTACTTTCATATGCTATATTTGCTCGGTCACGATAACCTACTTTCATATGCTATATTTCCTCGGTCACGATAACCTACTTTCATATGCTATATTTCCTCGATCACGATAACCTACTTTCATATGCTATATTTCCTTGGTCACGATAACCTACTTTCATATGCTATATTTCCTCGGTCACGATAACCTACTTTCATATGCTATATTTGCTCGGTCACGATATCCTACTTTCATATGCTATATTTGCTCGGTCACGATAACCTACTTTCATATGCTTTATTTGCTCGGTCACGATAACCTACTTTCATATGCTATATTTGCTCGGTCATGATAACCTACTTTCATATGCTATATTTTCTAGGTCACGATGACCTACTCTCATATGCTATATTTGCTCGGTCACGATATCCTACTTTCATATGCTATATTTGCTCGGTCACGATAACCTACTTTCATATGCTATATTTGCTCGGTCACGATATCCTACTTTCATATGCTATATTTGCTCGATCAAGATGACCTACTTTCATATGCTATATTTGCTCGATCAAGATGACCTACTTTCATATGCTATATTTCCTCGATCACGATGACCTACTTTCATATACCTATATAACCTACTTTCAGTTGCCATATTTTCTCGGCCACGTCGGGCATCATATTTTTAGCACTCTCAAGGTCATACACGTATATTTTATATTCATAATTGTAAGAAATATCCGTATGATTGGCCATTGAAGTGGTAAGGTTGCGACTGACCTTTATTGAAGGCCAAGGTCACTGCAATGGTAAATATTTAGGTAGTTTTACCTCTTTTTTTGTACTGAACCAGCCCACTATGTTTGTAGTATGATGTTTGTAAGAGTTATCTCCAATGTTATCAACAAGAAATAATTACGTACATAGGACACTGTCTAATCCGGCACTCTATTCAAGCCGGCATGACGCATCAGTGACAAGAATGATGTCTCATACACTTCCCAATTTTTACTTGTAACATATGGTGCCTCTGCTTTCTGCATGATACCCCCCTGGTTGTTGTGCACAGTACTAGCCAATATTAACTATTGGCTTATAACACTGGTTGATGATAGATACATCGATTATGATAAGAATTACGTGTCACATAGGGGGACAATAATTTTACGGTACTTTAACCTCCTTGACAGGGCCTTCAAAAGAATCACACAAAGGTTAAACATATTTATAATACAGACAAATACAGCAACTGTTTTGTGATCCAGCGGCGGTAACCGTATCGATGTGCTGCTGCCAATAAACGATCTTGATTTTGGCTTACGGGCTGTCCCAGAGTGTTTTCCAATAGATTCGGATCAAACCACACTGACAACCCTGCCATAATGTACACGCATCGTTATCTCCTGAAACTCTTGTCAAGTACAAGTGTATGATCACGTACATGTATGTATACATGCATCTGTAATGAAACGCGTACACATGTACATCTGATCAGGACAACATATTGAAAGGTATGCATGCACATGTAATGTAACGTCCAAACATGTACATCTGGTTAGGAAAACATATTGAAATGTATACATGCACATGTGATGTAACGTCCATACATGTGCATCTGTTAAGGACAACATATTGAAATGTATACATGCACATGTAATGTAACGTCCAAACATGTACATCTGGTTAGGACAACATATTGAAATGTATACATGCACATGTAATGTAACGTCCAAACATGTACATCTGGTTAGGACAACATATTGAAATGTATACATGCACATGTAATGTAACGTCCAAACATGTACATCTGGTTAGGACAACATATTGAAATGTATACACGCACATGTAATGTAACGTCCATACATGTACATCTGTTAAGGACAACATATTGAAATGTTTACATGCACATGTAATGTAACGTCCAAACATGTACATCTGTTAAGGACAACATATTGAAATGTATACATGCACATGTAATGTAACGTCCAAACATGTACATCTGGTTAGGACAACATATTGAAATGTATACACGCACATGTAATGTAACGTCCATACATGTGCATCTGTTAAGGACAACATATTGAAATGTATACATGCACATGTAATGTAACGTCCAAACATGTACATCTGGTTAGGACAACATATTGAAATGTATACACGCACATGTAATGTAACGTCCATACATGTACATCTGTTAAGGACAACATATTGAAATGTATACATGCACATGTAATGTAACGTCCAAACATGTACATCTGGTTAGGACAACATATTGAAATGTATACACGCACATGTAATGTAACGTCCATACATGTACATCTGTTAAGGACAACATATTGAAATGTATACATGCACATGTAATGTAACGTCCAAACATGTACATCTGTTAAGGACAACATATTGAAATGTATACATGCACATGTAATGTAACGTCCAAACATGTACATCTGGTTAGGACAACATATTGAAATGTATACACGCACATGTAATGTAACGTCCATACATGTACATCTGTTAAGGACAACATATTGAAATGTATACATGCACATGTAATGTAACGTCCAAACATGTACATCTGGTTAGGACAACATATTGAAATGTTTACATAAATCTATAAAGCAATGTACATATAATTCGGACACCATTTGGAAATGTTTATATGCACACGCACTCATGAACACACACACACACACACACACATACACACACATACACACACACACACACACACACACACACACACACACACACACACACACACACACACACACACACACACACACACACACACACACACACACACACACACACATACCATAGACACAAACGCACACAAACATACACACATATGATCAAACCATAATGCGGGATGTGTTATTGATTTTTTTTCTGACGTACACTGTAAATATCTCCACATATATATCTGGTCAAGCATATGAGCTGACTATGAGAGCCGTGCATGTAATAGCCTACTCGTCTACTTTTGGTGTAGTCAGAATCGTTAAATGGAAAGGGTTTCGTTGCCTTACTTACAAAGTAGCGTAGCGTACCCCGAAAGTACTGCCATTATTGGTTATGTTGAACAAAATTCAAGCAGCTCCCAATAGTTTGGGTTAAAGCAGGTAGGTTCTTTATACGTTGATTTCAAAGAGCTTCATACTACTCTTGCTCAAAGGTTATTTGATCAGTAAAGCTTGTGGTAAGTATGCGGAGAATATATCCAAATTTGATACAGTGAAAACAATTATGTCTGAGGCACTTCCGTATTTCGGCTTGTTTATGAAAGGTGCCTGCGATGAAGGAGGACGCGCACACCTTTTCGCGAACACCTGGGTCTTTATTTACAAAGTAGCGTAGCGTACCCCGAAAGAACTGCCATTATTGGTTTCGGCTTTATGTTGAACAAAATTCAAGCAGCTCCAGCCATTGGTGTCTAACATTTCCAACTTTTGGGGTAAAAGCAGGCAGGTTCTTTATACCTTGATTTCAAAGAGCTTCATACGACTCTTGCTTAAAGGTTATTTGATCATTAAAGCTTGTGGTAAGCATGCGGAGGACATTTCCAAATTTGATACAGTGAAAACAATTATGTCTGAGGCAATTCCGTATTTCGGCTTGTTTGTTAAAGGTGCCACCGATGAAGGAGGACGCGCACACCTTTTCGTGAACACCTTGGATAATCATATTTCATATTGAACCATTTCCATAATCATGAGAATTAATCTCTACTAAAAGCCAAGTACGATGTACAGGCATGTGTGTGTGAATCACTATCCATCATGATCAGTGATGATATCAGGTGATCGCGAG